GAAATCTCAAGATGTTGAGAAATTCAGCGAATTAATATTGTAGTATCTTTGCAAAAGCATAGATTGGGATAAAATCTGAATATAATAAATAAAGCAGAAATTTATTTCAATTTGGAAGAGAAAATGCACAGAATTTCATAAATTCTAACTTTCGTAGCAGTTTGATGCTAAGCTGAGTCAGCATTTATAGCAAAGTATGTAAAATTTTGCCGCAGCTTGTTGCAGCAATCATAGCAGTGTGCATAATAAACATATCTTTTCAAGTTCAATATGTATTATTATATGGAACAAGGAAAAACAGAAAATGTCTAAACACCAAGTTTGGCTAAATAACTATACATTCAAACAGAATATTTGACAACATGGCTAAATAACGGAAATTCAATCCATCTTTATCAAAAAATACTTCTTATTAAAAGGAAAGTTTAGGTAATGTTTCAAAAAGGCTTTAATCAAACAATAACAGTTAACAAACAGGAGATTTAACAAAGCAATAAAAAACTTCTACTTCAACCAAACATTCCAAATTCGTTTTTAAAGGTAATCGACTATTTTAATTGTGCTCTGATCCTCAAAGAAAATTTTCAAAATCAAGATATTCTTTGAAATCATCATTACAGTTTTGCAGAGAAAGAAAAACTTGGCTATTAAACACACTTAATAAGAGTAAGCTGATGATAACCTAAAATTTCTCTCACTTTTAATGATGACTGACACTATACCAAGATTTTCATTTAGAGAAAAATGAAGTCGTGAATTTAGTTTTACCCAACAATATTTACATTTTCACGTCAAAAATGGTTTTTTAAAGAATGAAAAATTTTAGATAAATTATGTGTTTCTTATTTCGAATGTTTACAAAAACTGGAACAAAAGTGAAATGAACAGAAATAGTTTTATTATTACACTAAAATGCTGATTATATAAAACATTATTTGGAATAACATTTTTTGAACGTGGTAAATTTTCCCACTTTTTTCTTTTATGCCTCTAATAAGTTTAAAATCGATGACTCTATACATAATATACATATACACACACATATAATTTTCTGATTTTTTTAAAAAACTATTTAATGAATGGATCAAGACATTATTTCCTCAGGGTCACAAGAGTGGGCATAATTTCTACTCCATCGCTGTTTACATCCTCTGCTAGCTAAATTACTGTACATTCTACGTTAGTTATGTGCGAACATAGAAATTTATACAGATATGCTGAAGGTCCACTAAAAGAGTCTGTGTGTATAAGGGTATATTATATCAATATAGAGGCATCATATTCATGCAGAAAGAGTGATCCAAAAGTGTGTTCCTATAGAATGAATATAATGTATTTATATTTACAGAGATACGCATTATGTTATGAACAATGGTTTTACTTAGAAATACTCAGCAATATCTTTTTGGAGTTCCATGCAGGTATGTTAAATACAGCAGTAACAACAAAATGGTGAAAATGTGCTTTAGCCATGCAGCGATTCACCTCGAAGAAACATTAAAAATTACTGCAAATGGGCCTTTAACAGATATTTTGTATCTTACATTTTATTAATACACGAATTTAAAAGCACATACATAAATCAAAACATAGTTACAAAAAATAAACAAAAATATACATACCTTATAATTATCAAATACACTGTCGACTGTCCGCGAACGCATCCAAACAGCCGCTATTAAACTTTCAAAACATGAGGAAAATCAGGGCATGCACTGAATACTTTGCTTTGATTGGCTGCAACGTAGTACCTTAAAATGATGAAAAACTGAACTATTCTGGTGATTTCTCCAAAACCAAGTGCACTATTAAAATCAAGTGAACAATGTATTGGTGCTACCTCTTACTTTGAACGATTAAATGGTGTAATACGGAAGAACTGAAACGATGTATTAGATCACTGAAATACATGTTTAGATAATATATTAGACCATTAAAACACTGGTTTAGACAATGTATTAAACCATTGAAATACGGGCATTAGACCATTGAAAGCAATTACCAGTTACAATGTATTAGACCATTGAATGTATTTTTCAATGTAATACAGCATTGAAATACAGATAATTTCCTTATAATGTTCCTAAAAATTACCATCTTAAACAAGCTGTTATATGAACCGAAACACTCATGCAAAAAATACTGTTAGCATCTAAAATTCAGAAGAAAATATCTACACTGTTTTCATTCTGCAAGTAAGAGAAATCAATAATCATTAGATACTTTATATTATTTATATTACAACACGTTTTCTTTGTTTATTAATTAGCATTAAACGATTGCATTAAATTTCGGCGAAACAGAACTGAACTCTCTTCAACAGTCTTAATTATTATGCACTACTTTTCTGCTTTGAATCGATCATTTTAAATTATTTACTTGTATATGGGAAATTATATTGAATTTTTGTCTGTATTGCATTTGTGAAGTTCCGTCTTAAACTGCGTATTACCTTCAGTGAAAGTATCTTCGTTTAGAACATACAGTTTCAATTCTTCGGCTAAATCAGGAGCAAATAACTATTTTTTCTTTCTTTTTGTGGTCTATTTGATTTTCTTCTGGCAATAATTTCTCTTAAATTTTGTTGTATTTCAATTTGCTGTGATGCTGAGGTATTAAAATTTCTACCGAAGGTATTGGCAGTTCCTTTGGTCCTTATTCGAACGGTGTTAGACAGAAACAACTTTGTAGGAATACCGTGTAATAGAGGAATTCTCCACAATTATCGGACTATGTTTGCATATTCTTTTTAGTAGCTTTTACTTGCTTCGCAGTTAGGCACTACACACAAAGAAAGGGAGTCCCCGTGGAGGACGTTTTAAGGGAAAATGTCTCGTAGGTGCATTACACATAAGGAAAATACCCCTGTAGATAGCCCGTTCGCCGAGACTCGAAGCCCGGACCCGAATTACCAGTGTTCAGCGGCTTTTACCACTCAGCCACTGGTTGGTTGACCATGTTGTATTAGTGCCGTTTTATACGACAGATGTCTGTATTCTTTTAGTTTTAATCTTTTGAGATAATTAAAGACTTCTTTGTCAGGGGGGTAGCTAAAAGTAATAGTTTGAGTAATCGAAATTAGAAAGAGCTCGAAAAAATCATATTATCCGCTGGCGACTAAAATTTTGACTTTCGACACATGCTGCCTCTCTCACGATTTATTATTATTCATGAGCTTGCCTGCTTAAGAGCTTTGGAAAGGAATGCATTATAAGAATTCTAATTTAAATTAAAAATCACATACAAAAAAATCATGAAGACTTTATATGATCACCTTATTGAATCCTAAGAATCAAAGGATGGAAAAATTCCCAATGTTTAATACTACTTTTCATTTCTCAGAAGAAAAGCATGGGAATTTGAGCTTAGGATCACATACACTGAACTTTATGATACTTCATTACCTAATTAGCTGCTGCAATTTTATGCTAAAATTCATAAAATGAGAATAATTAAAAGTTTGTGCTCTAGAAGCAGCGCAAAAAATTGTGTAACTGTACAAAGCACAGGAGAATTCAATAATTATTTAAAGCTCATATTTTCTAGAACAGTCGAAAATCCGATAATAGCGTAGACTTTAAGGAAAAAGAACGCATAATGAAAACTCATTTTTCAAGTGCTGTAAAATGAGCTCTTTTAAAATAACGTTTCATTAGATTTCTTTTCGACAATAATGTCAGATAGCAGGCGAATCTCGAAATATCCGCCTATCTGAGAAAGAGCTGAAAAATGTTTGCGTGGTAAATTTAGACTTCAAAGCAATTAAAGTAACAGCGGCAGAGTAATTAATTACTGGATTACATACACACTGCGAAACTAAAAATCAAAGAATAATATACAATGCTTTAGTTATAGAAAAATCGTTTTCATTAAACATACCGCATATCATTAGGTGACTCATAAAAGTCAGCAGAATGTATAAAAGTATGTAAAGTAACATGAATTTTGAAAAATCTGACTGTTTATTCGAGATTTGAGTTTGGGGAAAGTACATTCTTACACAGAAAGATAAAAATCTGAGAATACTTGAAAAATGGGTTAAGTCATGAAAATGCATTAATTCACATTTAGTTTTGCTTACGTTAAACACTTATATATCGTTTTAGCCTTTCTGATGTTCAGTACTAAAATTATAAGTAAACATTACAACGTAAAACAGCAATTTAAACTAGAAGTTAACATAAATGAATCAATTAACAGAATTAAATTCTTATTCTTGCGAAAAACAATGGTTCAAAGTATTTACAAATCAAATAATAAATGTATACGTTAAATGTAATGGTTAAATAGCTATTTAGCATTTATAAGTCAAATGTTCAATGGCTATTAACTTAACTTTCATTTAAAGGTGCTCTCACCAGCCGGTAGCAAGAGCGCTAAAGCCAGACAATAGCAAAAGAATTTTCACCACAGCTGGGGGCTATCTGTCCTCTGTACTAAACTTAGACACTCGATTATATTTAAAATTCATTTAATTTATATAATCTGGTGGAGTATAGAAAACAGTAGAAATGCAGGAAAGATTGATTATAAGAAATAATGGTTTATTTAAAAAGGGTTATTTTAAGGTTAACCAGGTTTATTTTAAGGTTAACAGGTTTATTTTATTTACTGGTCTAGGTTTAGTTTAATAAAAATAATTACTAATACTAATACTTTATTACCAGTACCTGTGATATACTTCACAGTTTGGCCCCTCAATCAACTAATAAGGAATTCATAAGGATCTAGAGCAGCGGTCCTGAACCGGAGGGGATTCTTTCTTTAGAGAGTTTTATAGTTTTAGAGCAAAATGCAATCAGAATTTGTTTAATTAGTAAGTATTTAGACTAGAAGAGAAACACGCTAATATGACAATCAAAATCGTAAAAACAACCTTGTATTTAGTGTGTCATTATACCTACGCTAAATACAAGGTTGTTTTTACGATTTTGATAGTAAGCATTTAGTTTCAATTTATGAATATAAAAAGCTACCTTTATTCAAGTTTTACTACTTACCAAAAGTTTCTATATTTTTCGCTATTTTATATAAAACACATTAGAATTTTCTATTCCAACTTTATATTATATACCTTGTTCATCGCTTCTTCTAAACCAGTGTGTCTTAAAATTATTGCTGTAAGTGTGAGATGGTTGCTCTTTACTAAGCAAAGTACCTCTGATAACATACGAAATGTCCGACAGGGATGATATTTAAATATGATATGGCAGACGTTCCTCGTAGTTGACGACAACTGGAGAATGAATGCTGATGACCTTCTGATCGCCTTCTGATGACCTTCTGATCTGACTTTGTTACTCTGCCAAGTGTAATCTCCATTTCATCGGGAAGTTTTCCATAATCTTGATGGCAGTGTGATGAGAAATTTCGCCACGATTTCTCTGAGTTATAATCTAATTCCAAATTCCCAATGTTCTCTAAACAGTAACTAAATATTCTTAAATTACACTTGTAAATGCCAAAATACGAAACGAGAAATGATTTATTAACATTAGTAACAGTTTTAAGACTTGAGTTGCCAGATCCAGTATTCAAAATACTTGTTTTCTAAGAAACTAATAATTTGAAATCAGTTTCCACTGGGAGAGGATTTTCTGCTACATAAAGTGATGAAACTTTTCAAAAATGTTCCTCTTGCAATCATAAATGACCTTCAGGTATTAACAATAATTCTACCAGTTTCGCCTTTATGACGTTTGATCTTTCTTTCAGTTACAAAACTGTTCAGATTCTACACAAAATCAGTTTTCAGGTAATGTTTGCAAATATCAATAAATTTCTTGTCCACTTCTTGAAGATTTCACCTCTGATCTTAAACTTTGTGGAATTTTAGCTTAGCGCGGTTTGTTATGTCAATGTGGCTTGACATGTATTGACCAGATTGAAGGTCGGGGAACAAGAATCGTACGTACGAAAAGGAGAAATAAAAAAAAATGTTAGCTAATCATCTGTGGACATTTAATCATAATTTTGACTTTCGATTTATAAAAATTATACATAAAGCTGTTATGTGTAATTGCTCTCAAAACTGATTTCAAAATCTTCCAGAAATAAAGTTGCTTTTCTGTCCAGTTTTAAATCTATAGACTCTTTAACATTAAATAAAAACAAAAATGTGGTACTTTTACATAAACCCTCTCCTTGTGTGCACTGGAAATAACCTTTTGTTATATAAATATGGACACATTTTGCTAGAACATTGTCGCAAGTGTTTTATTTAGATGTACGCGTTGCCATGCCAGCTAAACGTACTGTCTGTTAAACGTGTTGCCGGCTAAATGCCTGTTAAACGTCCTTATTGGTTAAACGTCTCTTATCGGTTAAGTGTCCTGTCGGCTATATGTCCTTTTCGGCTAAAGGTCGAGTCGACTAATTGTGTCGGCTAAATAGTTTTCGACTAAATGTCTGTCTGCAAATGTTTTAAAAAGTCTACCATTGCAGCAAGAGCATCGATTTACGTGATTGCTAGGTAAATCACGTGTGATTACTATATAAATCACGTGTGATTATTGATAGCTTTTGTATTACAAGCAGTAAAGGTAAGTTTTAATTCTGTAACATTAAAATTTATTCTTAGAGCTGATTGGGTTTTGATCAAAATTGATTGTTCACTATTAATATTTTAAATTTTAACATTGCGCTCATAAAAGGTCTTTTTCCCGATTTACGTCTCCTATCTAGCAGAGAATTAAAGTGCAATTTCAGGGTACTATTGGGATTGTACAGGTCCAATCTCCTCCTCGTATTATTTAAGTTGCATCTCCTGGAGAGAGCTGTTTTGTGTGTGAAATCAAAACGGGCATTATAAAGAAGAAATTAAAAATAATGGGTTACGAATTTGAAATGAACATTATACGGTTAGATATGACTTCATCTCTATTTTTTACTTGTTTTTCTTTGTGCAAATCACATTAATATCTGCACCTTAAAAATTAAGAAGCATTATAATAAGCTTGAATACATTCAAACCCATCACCTGTTCAGTGGAAGCTCAAAACAGTAATTTAGTCAATATCACACGAAAAGAAACAGAATTCGCAGGGTTATTTAACTGAAAATTCATGTATAAACAAAATTTCAAAAATACGTCTTCCTTCTACAAATTGCACAAAGACTCAAGAAAAGAATATTAATGATTAAGGTATTTTATAGTGCAAAAGTAACGCAACTTAGCATCACAGTGTTCTTTTTTGACATTGTCGAATAACGGAAATTAAATAATTTTAACAAACATTTCCCTTTAAAAGTATTTTCAAGATTATTTATTTGCAAAATTATGTTAACTTAAAACATTTTTAAGGAGAATATCTCACAGGTCAAACGTACGTATTTGACAGTAACTATATTGCAGCAATTCTTAAAGTATGAATTCAAACCCCTTTCATAAGATATCAATTTTCCTAGACTATTAATAATTAACCTTATACTTCTGCTAACAACAAGTTAAGAAAATATTTTATTGAATACAAACTATTCATGTTTCTCTTGGGAACGATGCTGGAGTTTCTTTGCCACTAGATGTGTAATATCTGATTCAAAGTCTGAACCGTGTATGCTAAATCTAGTTAGATATCAAAATGATTTTGAAATTTGCTTTGCACGTACGCAAGGCAGAGTAAGTATCTTTTAACAAATATATTATGCAGAAGAGAAGTGACAGTATATATATACCTCAAGCACAACCGCAATTCAGGAATGTTAGTCTACTTAAAATCCAATTTCACGGAACCATCGCCCTTTATTTTTTCACAAATTGATATTGTTTTGAAGATGGCAACGTTTTGATTTCCTTAGTTACAAAAGAATATTTTTATGTCCCATACAAGTATTCTAAAACGAAATTTACGGAATGCTCTATATAAACATTTCCTTATCAGAATAATAATTGAAGCCATTCGCCTCGGAAGAGTATTATACTTTTATGGAGTTGCCATTCTGTAAACCAGGTTGTGTTAAACATTTAATACTGGTGACAGGCGCGAATATGTTACTTGAACGATGGGTTTAGCTCTCTCACATTAACAAAGACGAAGGTGTCCATTGGGGCATCCACTGGCAGTTTTCTTCTGCGAAGAAGAATGATAGAGCATTAGGTGCTAAAGAAGAATGTATAAGAAAAATGATATCGTAAACAATGGTCCAAACAGCAATGCTGAAATTTCTCTGTTTTCTCATTCGTGATCAGATAAATAAATTTACATAAACACTTTCAAAATATATCTATAAGCGATTTCTTGATAACTGAACTAGATATGAATTCATTAAATGGTTTCTTAACATTACTATTCTGGGATTAAAATTTAAATCAAAATGTGAAAGTCTACTTGTAGTTTCATAATAAACAAATTTCTGCTTGTCAGTCGTTTACATGAATTCATTTGCAATCAGTCAGACGAGACGGCTGCGTCTTCCGTACTGCAGTCTAATAAAAATTAAACGACACAGAATCAAACTCTAATACAAACTGATTAATTAGAATACATTGGGACTATAGTGGTTTATTCCATGTAAGCGATTAACCAAATTATAACTTCATTGCCTTTCTGCATGCAATATATCCATAAAATCTGTTCGAAGTTTTAAAGAGTTTTCCTTGAAGTTGAAATATAGCATCACTTCTTGAAAATTCTCAAGAATTAAATGGCGTGTTGCTCCAAATTAGAGAAGGAAATCCCGATATTTTCATCAAGATGCGTTTTGATGTGTAAGATTCGTCTCAAATAAAGGTTTCCTTGATGAAAAAGTGGCTATATTCAACGTAACTGATTGAGTTGTTTAAGCTTCAACAGAATTACAACGAAATTGTATAACCGAACAAAGCAAATTACTCTCTGCAGTCTATTTACCATTACAAACCAAATGAACAGAATTATAGCAGATCTGCTATAATTATCTTCAACCGCTCATCGGTTGAAGATATTTCAGTACATGTTATTAAAGTGGAATGATCACTATAAAGAGTTGGTATTATAGTAAACGTCAACTCTGTAATTCGTTTCGATTTCGTTTTCGGCGTGAAGGTTGCTGCATGCGAGTTTCATTTTTTACTTTTGTCGTGGTCATGAGGCTAGCTCAGGTTGCTTCTATATATACGTTAAAATTGTTTCTGCAACTATGCTGTAAATTACGTTTAGGATGTGGGAACTTAGGCCCCAGTCTGACCCATGCATTTTCTTGAGTTTGTTGACTATGCATTGAATCTTTTTCCTCGACGTACACAGGCGTGTTTATGATAGATCTTTATTAAGGACGAGGCTCAAGGGCTTGAGTTCTTTAACGAGCTTCACTTTTCTCCCGTTCATCTGTATAATTGGATTGCGTAATAGGGTTTGTCCGGGCTTGCGAAATTAGATACACCGAGATTTCGCATCTGAAATTCTGAGGCATTTTTTGATTGCAGACGTCATTAAAGAGGGTTATCGTTTCATTATAGTTTGCCTGGATTACATCTTTAATGTGTCCTTGAACAACAAATGCGACATCATCGGCAAACGCTATTTTCTTTGTGTGCATTGGCCATTGGGATTTGATAATGCAACTGAATATGATGTTCCATGGATCTAGACCTGCGCATGACCCCTGCGGACACGTGATGCATCCTCCACTGTGTGTTCGTTCAAATAGCTTTTATAAATTTGGAAGAGGTTGTTTGGAACTTTCGCTTCGTATAAAGCGTCTACAATCACAGGTCACCACAAGGAATCGAATGCACTCAGCTGATCCAGCCTGAGGACGGCTGGTTGATTTTTACTGCTCTTGATATCGGTTACTTCCTGTTTTAGGATTAAAATCCGTCGTAATAGGGACCTTAAAGTACTGAGGTGCTATACCATCTGCGTTCATAAACATGATAAAGTTAGTTTTTTATTCCTTGACCATGGCTTGAACCGATTTACTCGCTTTAATTTGCGTTCAGGCTCTTATATGTCTTTCAACGTCAAGTCTTCTTCTTCAAATCCACCAGATTCGAGAAATTTCCTTACATAAGGAACATTAATTGAGAAATGAGTCAAGCCCATGATTGAAAGGCGACTGCAGGTGGTGACCACGAAGCAACAGTTTTGAAGAAAACAGTCGTAAAGACATGAGGTGATAGACAATATGCGTGAACACCAGAAGATGAAATTTAAGTAAAAGGTTATTTTTTGAAATAAGA